TCCTTCAGCAGCCACAGCCTGCAATCTCAGCCACCTGCCTTCCCCAGGGCTAGCAACTTTTTAAGTGACCCATTTTCAGTAATTGCTAGAACATGTGCTGAAGTCTGGTAGGGCTCGTTCTGTTTTTTTTCCAGGCCTCTCCTTCATGTCTCGCCACTGGCACCATCCCAGCACTTTGTCCAGGTCCACAGCTGGGATCTTTTCCTACTTCTTCGTCTTCTTTTTTGTAAAAGAAGCTGTGTGGAATGTTTCCTAGCTTCTGAGAACTGTGGTGTTTTTTATGGCTGGGGGGGGGCAGGGAGGAGAGAGAAGGTCTCCAGAAGGAACTGGCTCCGAACAACATCCATCAACTGATGGTCTTTTCTTGCCAGCAAAATTTTGGCCAAGAGAGTTGGAGGTCAGAGGCCTCCAGGATAACCTACAGACAAACCACCAAGGAGAGAGCAGTCTGGGGACAGGCGTCCCTGGGAAGTTCTCCTGCTCAGGTTTCTGTTGGATTCCATGGGATTTTCACAGGAGAACTTCCTTAGCCTGTGTTCCTTTGCAGAGGTCTGCCATTTATTTATTTATTTATTGAGCTTATATGCCACCCATTTAGACATAGTCTACTCTGGACAGCTCACAAAACACAGAATAAAAACAATTAATATGAAATAACAATTTCCAACATTTACACAAACAGAGTAGATAAAGATTGAGAGAGAAAGTTACATGGTGCCCAGAGGAAAGGCCTGTCTATATAACCAGGTCTTGAGTTGGTTTTTGAAAGTGCCCAGAGAGGGGGCCAAATGAATTTGGGGGGCGGGGATGTTCCAGAGCCTGGGAGCCACTGCCGAGAAGACCCGTTGCCTTGTTTTTTCTTTCCGGGCCTCCAATGCCATTAGGCTCCTCAGTCACCCCTCCTGACTAGATCGCATGATACGAGTAGATCTAGGTAGGAGGAGGTGTTCTGTCAAGTCCTGAGGTCCTAAACCGTTTAGGGCTTTGTATGTGATTATTAGAACTTTGAAGTCAACACGGAATCGAATAGGCAGCCAATGCAATGCAGCCAGAGTGGGAGTAATCTGTTGATGTTTCCTCACCCCACTAAGAAGTCTGGCCGCTGCATTCTGTACCATTTGTAGTTTCCGCATTTCAGTAATCTCAAAGGCAGCCCCACGTAGAGCACATTGCAGTGGTCTAATCTCGAGATTACGAGCGCAGGGACCAAGGTGGTGAGTGCACCAACGTCAAGAAAGGGATGCAGCCGTGCAATCTGCCAAAGATGGAAATAGGCGGTGCAGACTACTGACGCCACCTGAGTTTCGATGGTGAGTGCCGGGTCCAGATGTATCCTCAAGCTGCGAACCTACAGACACTGCTCCACCACTGAAGGGAGCACTGCCTCCCATGGGGATCTGTTCACTTTGTGAGATACTTTATTTTTAGAAGACAACCCTGTTTTGTTTTATAGGAGAAACAGACCAGAAGCAAATTGGCCAAATGCACCCACTGATTCCATAGCAGAGGCCTCTGCCCCTCCCCATTTCCCAAAGGGTACAGCATCACCAGGAAGAGGGTGCAGATCCAAGGGAGACAGAGGGGCAACTTGAGGGGCACCTGCGTCCTCCGAGGGGACCCAAAGGAATCCCCCAGCACTCCTGGAGGTCCCCGCCTCATAGCGCAGGCAGTCCCCTTACACCTTCTAAGAGGTTGGGAGGGTTCCACAGATTGCCCTGACACCCTTGGACCTGCACCTCTCAAATTGCAATTTAAAAAATGGCCACTAGCGGGTGGGAGCGATCTGTCTGAGTTGTGATTTGGGGGCATGCGAAGGCAAGTGAGGCAGGGTGGCCCCAGACCTCTGGAAGTTGCCGGTCCCTGACTTAAGGCCAGAGTCAGGCAGAAGTGGCAACAAAAAAGAAGCGAACAGGGGGGAAAAAACCCAATAATAATAACAACAACAACAAACACATACACACAGAGAGAGAGCAGATTGCCAGGAGTTTTGTGCGCTTGATTGGGACAATAAGCCACAGATTCCTTTTGGTGTGACAGTTCGATCATCTTATTGATGCTTCAAAGTTTTATTTGCTGCTCTCATGTTTGCAGAAAGCTCAACCAGATTCAGAAGGAGGAGGCGTGAAAACTGGTGGAAGAAACATCAATCATTTAAGAGATGTAGTTGACACCTTCTTGCTGGCAGAAAGCAGCAAGCACTTGAAAAGGCTTTTAAGGAAAGTGAAAGGAGAAAATTGCCATAGCAGGAGAGCAGTTCATCATTAAGACCAAACTCTAGACTATAGAAGAAGGACACAACTTTAGCATTGACAATGAGGGAAACTGACATTGTTGGGGATGTTGTTGATGTTCAATCATCAACCCAAAGGGAGATGGCGGCAAAAACATTAGAAGAAGGCTGAGACTCAGAAGGGCAGCAATGAAAGAATTAGAAAAGATCATCAAGTATAAGGATGTGCCATTGGAGACCAAGATAATCCAGACTCTTGGTATTTCCATTAACCATGCATGAGATGGACAGTTGGACAGGGAAGAAAGCCGACAGGAAGAAAATGGATTTGTTGGAAAGGTGGTGCTGGAGGAGAGCTTTCCAGATACCCCTAGACTGCTAGGAAGGAAATCAAGTGGGTCCTCGATCAAATCAAGCTTCAGTTTTCTCTGGAGATGAAAATGCTGAAGCTGAAGTTGTCATTCTGTGGACACATCATGAGAAGTCAGGGTTCTCTGGGAAAGACCATAACGCCAGGAAAGGTGGAAGGTAGCAGGAAAAGAGGTGCAGCCAGACGTGAGAGACTCTGACTCCCTCAAAGAAGCCACAGGCTTACGTTTGCAAAAGCTGAGCAGGGAAGATAAAGAAAGGGCATTTTGGAGATGGTTCATTCATAGGGGTCACCCTAAGCCAGAGGCCACTTGAACCACAACAAACTTATGTTCTCCATGCTGCTTGTGTGTGAAAGAGCAACTCAGAGGCAGCTAAACAGACCAGCTGGCTGGCTGGTTTGTTGGTTGGCCAATAACGCCATCCTTTCCCCTCCCCCTCCCCACACCAACCTCGCTTGCTTCTCTAGCCTTTCTGTGTTGTAAGACTGGAAGGCTGACAGGTCAATACACTTCATTAAGTTCCCCTGGGCGGTCTCTGCCTCTTTCCCAGCAGATAACTTGTGTTGGTGTACCTTGCAGGGTTGTTGTAAGGACCACGGAGGTAATTTATTGGACCCCTTCACTGCGGTATTAGTACAGAATAACACTTAGGTGTTATGATGAGAAACCGTAGACGATAGGATTCCTTCCAGCTCGGGAGTGGGCAAATCTGTTTGAATGGGAGAGGCTCAGAAAGATCTTCTTTGTGGCCCCATTTCGAGGGGGAACCCAGCTCAGAGTTTGCTCCAGCCCCACCCTGGGCCAATTCTCATCCTCCCATGCTTGGAATTGGAAACGATGGGGCCCCAGCTGTGGGCCCTCCAACCTGCAGCCGCCTGCGGATAGCAGTTGATCTTTTCCCACAGGACTTGGGTCACTGCTGGGGAATCCCTTCCCTCTCAGGACCTTGGTGGGGCTCAAAGGGGATGTTTTTTCCACCTACCCTGCAGAACCTCTTGGGGGTGGGAGGGTCCTGTACAGGCTCTAAAGCAACCATTGAATCAAGGGTGTAACTAATTTGGGGTTCACTCTACCTACATTTCCTTCTCTGTCTGTTGAGGTGGATGTGCTGATTTAATTCAAAAAAATACCAGATGTTGGGTTCCAGGGAGCAAGTATTTCCCCCACCACCACCCCCAGCTCTCCCCAGACAGCCAAGCCTCAAATCAGCTGGCCTGGATAAGGAGGCAGTGCTTCGAGAGAAACCAGCGCTGCTACACTGCGCCTGGAGGAACTCCATCCCCATCTGTCTGTGCCCCAGATCCAAGGAGCTCCCAAGAGCCGTTGCAGGCGGGAGGCTGCACCGAGCTGCATCGACTCCCTTGTCAAGCCTGGCAGACCCAGACAGACAGACAGAAGCTTGTATCTGTGCCGGGCCTCCCTCTCTCCCTCCCTCCGCATGTCTGCCTCCTCAAACCGCAGGGCCAGTTGCTCCATCAGGACGTACATTCCTCCTTCCTTCTTCATCTGAACAGCTGTCTTGAAAAGGATGTGAAGAATCTGCACAAAGGTTCCAAGGAAAAGATATTCGTCCCAAAGAAGGGAGGAAGAAGGAGGCTTGTAATGAAGTTGTTTTTCTTTCTCCCCCCCCTTATTTTTTTAAGGGGAGAATGAGAGAGAGAGAGAAAGAGAGAGAGGAAACTTTGCCTATAAAATGACCAACTGACCCCTGCTGAACTGGGCAGAAAGATCACGTATTCCTCCTTCCAAAGACTTCTCTCTGGAATCCAAGTCAGGCAGCTATGGGGGCTGTCAGTGCACCATGCATGTCCCAGGGAAGAGCATTTCACAAGGAAACATTGCTATGCGTTAAGGTTGGTGACAGTGGGGATGATGATGTTGGCTGTAGAAGTATCTGAGATCAAACTCCCCACTCCCCGCACTCAAGTGTTTCTGCAAACGAAGGAAAGGTTTGCTGGGTCTCTGAAGGAGCCCTTTGTTCTGGCTGGCCTTTGAGAAGGCTCCAAATGCCACCAGGACCAGCTGTGTTGTCAAGTGCCAGCCGTCAGCTGTGCCTCCTCACACCCATGGCCTTTGGGCACCTGTCATCTCGACACAAGAGCCGAGCCGAGACAGGGCTTTAAACTTCTGAGCCCTTTTGCTCCAGCTGTCCTTACAGCACAGACCTCCGAGAGGCCAAGAGGGTCCCAGAGCCAGGCAGCTCTCTGTTCTGGTGGGACCTTTCCTTCCCTCTTGACCAGCCACCGTTCCTCCTGCCAATGGGTTCTTTAGTTGCCAAGCTGCTTCTGCCAACTCTGAGCAGCCTGGCTTTCCTCCCAACAATCAGCATCGCTGCCAAGAGGCAATTCCACATGGAGGCCATGGTTTACTTCTTCACCATGTTCTTCATTTCGGTAAGACTCCTGTTTCCAACTTGAGCTCTCCTCCCCCCCCCCCCCGGGCTCTCGTTAGGTGCTGAGGAGGGCTTTTCTCTCATCGGGGGAATGAGGGAGCTTGCTGTGTTCAGCTTGAGCATGTGTTCTGGTTTTGCAAGTGTCCCTTCCTCCTCCTCCTCCTTCCTTCCTTCCTTCCTTCCTTCCTTCCTTCCAAGATGTTCTTCTCATTATAGGGAATTGGAACGCTAAAGTAGGGAGTCAAGAGATAAAAGGAACAACATCCTTCCTTCCTTCCTTCCTTCCAAGCCTTTTGTTTTATACTTTGACCAGCAGTTTATTGCTGGTGTTTAGCAGTTCCTTCCTCCAAGGACTCACTTCTGGATCTTTAAAGTGCCCTGAGACTATTTGCGCAGCCAGAGCCCAAAAGAAGTCCAGTCCAGACAGGACACAAGAAATGGCGTCTTTCTCTGTAGTGTGCTTCAGAGTCATTGGTGTTCCAAGTTAAGGGGTACTTTGGTTATTCTGGGAGGCTGCTTTCTTCCCCTTGTAATAGGGGAGACAGCTTGGGGCAGGGGGGAAATGCCACAGATCTTTGAAGGGCCCTCTCTCTTCTGGCTGAAGGTGAAGAAATGTGTGGGTCACGGAAGCCCTGGCACATGCCTCTGGCTGCCTAGAGTGGCCTGGAGAGGAACCACAAACACCTTTTGCCAGGAAATCTGCTTCCCCCTGAGCCACTAGCTTTCTCCTCTTGCAAAATGTATCCGTGAAACTGGAGGTTTCTGGGGGGAAAAAGGGCATTGCTTAAACCTTCCAGGACACAGATCTGAATGTGAATCGGTTGTAGTGGAGAAAAAAGAATCACACAGGGGGGCTGGAGAGGGAACCAGCCTCAGCTAAGCTACATATACAAATTCCAGAGTGTATTTGAAGACTGAACTATAGAGATGCTTTCCTCTGACTCTCAAGCTGTAGCACTTTTCTTCACTGACATAAGGATGGGCAAAGTTATTGACTCTGGCTTTACAACCATAAGTTGATACAGCAAAATACAATCTGTTTCCTGGTCCAGTATATTTGCGCTCCAAAGACCAGCTGGGAAATAGGAACTCTCTCCAGCAATGACCAAAAAAGGGCCAGGCAGCCTCCTAAACCCTTTGGTTGAGGTGTGACCTCAGCTATTGAAACTGTTTGTTGCAGAAGCAGCTTTCAAGAGCGTGGGTGCCTTGCTTTTCCTGCACTGTGTGCTTTTTAAATATTGCTTTAGATATGGTATGCTTGGCTTGGTTGATTTTCTATTTCACAGGGGTTAGGATTGCGTCATTATGACATTATGAGTTGCCTTGCATTCTCTTTGGTGTGTGTGTGTGTGTGTGTGTGTGTGTGTGTGTGTGTGTGTGTGTGTGTGTGTGTGTGTGTGTGTGTGTGTGTGTGTGTGTGTGAGTGTGCATGTGTTGTTGGTGAGGTGGGCTATCTGTCCTTCAGTCAGTGATATTTCTCCACAGATTTACCATGCTTGTGATGGCCCCGGTTTGTCCATCCTCTGCTTCATGCAATATGATATCCTGGAGTATTTCAGCATCTTCGGGACAGCATTATCCATGTGGGTGTCGCTGATGGGTAAGGCTGGATCTGTTGAGGAGTCTCTCCTTCCAAACCTGGAGTCCTTAAAACAGTGACAATCACACCTCTGTGGTGTTCAAAAGGACGCCTCTCTTCACTTTCCTGGTTTCCCATCCTACAGCCCTGGCCGAATTTGATGAACCCAAGCACTCCACCTTTGTGATGTTTGGCGTGCTCACCATTGCTGTCCGGATATACCACAATCGATGGGGATACGGCGTCTACTCTGGCCCCATCGGGACAGCCATTCTCATGATTACGGTGAAATGGGTAAGAATGCATTTGCCTTTGGTCTCAAAGGTTGCCACAGCCATGGCCTCCTCCTTCTTACTCTCTCTCCCTCTCTGTGTCTCTCTCTCCCTCCAGTTGCAAAAGATGAAAGAGAAGAAGGGACTCTACCCAGACAAAAGTGTCTACACCCAGCAGATTGGGCCCGGTTTCTGCTTTGGTGCCCTGGCTCTGATGCTGAGATTCTTCTTTGAGGTAGGCTAGCTCCAGGGGAAGATAGACCGGGAGAACCATCTGGCCTGCCTGAGGCTCTGCTCCTGTGGGGGCCCATACGGACTGCCCTTGTAAATGTCACCAGGAGCACCGCCTTTCTGCACGGCCCTTCCTTAGATCACAGAGAAAGCTGCCTCTATAGTGCTTTGCATGAAATTTGTGCTCCGTGGCAGTGCAGAGATTTTATGTGGTATAAAGGCATGTTTCTAGGGTGCAGCTCTGAAACTCAGGCCACCCAGAAGATCCCCACCCCCTTCCTCTCAACTGCCGGCCACCTCCCTCTCAGGCTACAGGCTGGAAGGTCAGGCATAGGAGGACAGGAGAGCCCAGCCCACACCCCTGGAGAAGAAGCAGGTGGCCTGGCAGCTGGAAAACAAGGTGCTTTCCTGAGACACAGGGATCCTACACCTTGCTTGAAAGATGATGCCCTCTTCTCTCAAGCTGCTTGTCTTTGTCCAAGAGAAAAGAGCTCTAAGTCTATTCTGAAACCATTTTCTGCCTGTGCAAAGGTGCCACGGTTTCCCGGGTGCAGGTGCAGGAGCATGTCGGGTGCCGATCCGATAGATGCATGAGAACCCCACTTCTGGAGGTGCCCCTTTCCCATGTGCAGAGACATTGCAGACGGGAGATTAGTCAAACCTAGGATTCATTCCACCCCAGAAGAACAGGGTGGCGGTGGCAGCGGTGCTTTGCCGATCTCCAGAGTCCAGGAGAAAGGCTCCGGTCTGTCCTCCATGGTCTAGAAGCAATGGTGCCATTTTAGGGAAGTGCTCCTGAGATTCCTCCCAGCCGGGGGTGGGGGTGGGGCTGCCTGAGGCATGTTTTGCAACTGAGTCACTCGAGGCACAAGTGGACATTCCTGCTGCACCCCTGCTAAGACAGGGGTGGGATGGGGTTGGTTCAGCTGTGTCTGAAAGAGTTCAGCCCCTGCTCCAGTTCTACCCCATCGGTCCTTCCTCCCCCTTCCCTGTCACTGTTTTCCATGTTCTTTCCATGAACACAATGGCAGGGGTGTGTGTGTGTGTGACAGAGGTGGCCCTTGCCCAGCCAAAGCCTGAGCCCAGTCTGTGCGCCAGCATAAGTGGGGATGGGAGGGGGGTTTATTTATTTATTTATTTATTTGACTTATATACCACCCCATAGCGCTACAAGCACTCTCCGGGCGGTTTACAATTTTTAATTATACAGGCTACACATTGCCTGGGTACTCATTTTACCGACCTCGGAAGGATGGAAGGCTGAGTCAACCTTGAGCCGGCTACCTGGGATTTGAACCCCAGGTCGTGAGCACAGTTTTAGCTGCAGTACAGCGTTTTAACCACTGTGCCACAAGGCTCACTGAGCCCAGTCTGTGCGCCAGCATAAGTGGGGATGGGAGGGGGGTTGGAGAGGTTAGCTCAGGTCACATCCATAGGGAAGGGTGGGGAGACAAGGATCTCCTCCAGTAGCCCAGACAGAAACAAGACCTCCCACAGGTGCTGCTTTCTCCACGTCTCCTAGATCTACCAGGTGCTTGTTGAGTGAGCCCTCGAGTGACCTCAGCCCCAGCCCAAGCCCTGGGGAGCCGACCCTCCAGCCCTGGCGGCTGGTGGGAGCGTCAGAAACCCCGGCCCGGCTGCCCCCCGCCCCGCCCAGCCGCTTGATCCGCGCCCTTCCTTTCTCCAGTCCCCGCCCGCCCTGTCCTCC